TAATTAGTAATGAATACAATTACAATTTAGTAAATATTTACAATTTATACAAAATAGATCTTCGATATGGTTAGTAAGGGTAAGCTTGTTAAGAAAGATTTTACGAATTTTTTGCTTGGCGTTAGTATATGAAGAGCAAGATGGCGAAGCAGCAAGTTAGTTGCTTACAATCTATATCTAAGCAATTAAAAAGAATGGAAGCACTGTACAGAAATGTTCGTTTACCAGAGTCAGTACGCGAGAAGGGGGGTTGAAGGTCATATGCGCAAGCTCTAGTCAGAGCCCGTTGTCGAATAGAAACTCAAATAGTTCAGTGATATTTTAGTTGTGATAGTTATTTTTGTAAACTTGCTTTAAATTTTTTTAAAAACTAAGAAATATTACATCTTCATAAATAAATTCCAATTGTTCTTTTAAAATATTCAGAGATTTATACAAACTTACAAAGGCATAAATTCATCTATTTAGTAAAAATGCTTGAAACATACATAAATGAGTTCATACATTTGTACTGTTCTTCTTTTTTGAAAATAACCGAAACCGAACCGAGGTTTTTTTGTTCCAAAAAAACGAAACCGGAACCGAGATAAAATTTTTGGAACCGCACAGCTCTAATATATATATATATATATATATATATATATATATATATATATATATATATATATATATATATATATATATATATATATATATATATATACGCTCCTTCCCTTCGGTGTTGTATAGAGCCTGATTAGCAATAAATGCAAAGCTTACTTCCCTTGTGCATGGCCTCATGGCAGTCTGCGCATGTCTGCGTTGCTGGCCCGTGCTTTAGAGCATGCGCTTGTGAGAGCAAGTTGCATGTATATCAATACAAAAGTCATCGCGTGTCTAGATGTGTATCAAGCTGCACTGATGAGGCGTAGGCCTTTTTCGTGCCTTTATCCCGCCGGACGAGTCGGGATCCCAACCCCGCACGTAATTTTCCGTGAAGTTCAAATTGTGAAAAGCCTTCAAATAGACAGCGTGATCTTTGTGTATGGGTCCATTACGAACAAAATTGAGGCTGCCGTTGAAGATGTTCTTCTCGATCGCAGAGTCCCTATTAAAGCCATGGTAGATTGAAGATTTCCAGAAGCCCTGATCGTCACGGAGATTCAACTCGTTCTTAAGAAACTCAAGCTTCAGTTTTAGTGTTGGCCAGTACGTAGTGCCTAGCTCGTTATCCATCCAGTCGATTCTTCCCAGATCTAATCCAAAAATGTTGTTCTCTATCTTGATGGCTACCGAATTTTGCACGTCAACAGCCACGCCAAATCCTCGTTCATCTCGCAAAAAACCCGAATGACTCAAAGCGGGACGGTGTACGCCAGTGTTATCGGTATCAACAATACGGACCTGACCCTTGTGTGTAGCCTAGCTTTAGGGGCGGGGTTCTCGTTCGACAAGAAAACACAATGAGAAATCGTGATTCTTTTTTCCCCAAATTCCAGGCTTTTTTCCCCAGACTCCATCAAAGAACAAACGATCAATATCAACGTAATCATGGGTTGCTATTCATTCATAGCTTATATTGGCCAACAGGGTTCGTGTACTTACCAGCATGAGCTCCACCTTTGAATTTACTATATGAGTAAATTCTTAAACACGTCCGAATTTATCATTATGATAAATTCGCGGCAAATTTTGAATTTATCATAATAATAAATTCGCGGCACCTAACACTAACCCCAACCC